ATGAAAGGTTTGAAGAAAAAGATAGAGGTATACGAAGAAAAAGCGGAACGAAAGATTTTGAAGCTGCATGAATTACCTCGTCATTTAAAAAATAATGAAAGGTATTAATCGTGCAAGTTTCCAAAAATTTATTGCTTTTGTAGCTACAGATTACGTTCTAATTTTTTTTTATAAGAAGTATGGAAATGATTTGTGTGATTGAAAAAAGGCTGAACAGCTGAACTGAAAATTGATTTTAATTAATAGTCATAAGATGAAATTTTCTGTTCTGGACCAGTTATAAATAAATTTGAGTTTTTAAAGTCTGATTTAATAGTTAGTCATTAGTAAATGTTTATGTAGATTATCGAATGTTTTGGTTGCCTTTTTCATAACATTTTTTTGTACTTGTGTTAACAATGTTTTTCCTGAAATTAAGAAAAAAATTCGGGGGAGCTGCATTAGGTGGCACCAACACGCATAAATGATTTGAAACAATTGACAGGTGTCGTCAATTGTTTCACTTCAAATTATCCAGTTTAACTTGGGCTATGCTACAATTGACGAAAATTGAAAAATGGCATATTTAATATTTAATTACCGATGAATAACGATACCGTTTGTTTCGTAATTAGATGTTTTGCTGTTGTTCCCACACCACGGAACAAAACAACCCCCATTGTTATAGATATTATCTTTATTACAATAAATACAGAATATTTTTGGAATATACGGAAATGTATACACAGATCAGTTGTTGGCGCTGTACTATATTTCATTTCAAACGAGGGTCGATATTTAGAACTGATATCGTCCCATTTGCCTGATGAGCTACCAAGAATGTATGGCCCTTATTTCGTCTCTATTTCTGGTTATATACTCGATGCCTGTGCTATTCTGTGATGTGATCCTAGGTGGCGAAATATTGCTTATGTAATTACATATATAGCCCACAACGACCATTCTTATAAAATCTACCATCAAATATTCGAGTGGCCGGCCCTTAGGTATAATTAATTACCATCGCCGTACCTTTTCAAAGTGGACATCCCTAAACCACGAAATATTTCACTATTCCCTGAATTGTGAGCCGAGCTGCGGCACTCGAATAGTGCGAATGTAGCAATGTCGACGTATTCGCTCGAAATTTACATGGGTATCTAATTACCGTAACTTTGGTTTTAAAATTTTCTAATTCCCATTCCCTAATTTGTGAATTACATTTTTCAAGGAAATGTGTTGTCGTTTATGAAAATAAAAGAGCTATGAGGCTTTTATGTATTACGATATTCGAGTACTTTCCATCACTTGACAGTTTTTGAAATATCACTTAGGACGGTGGTGAAACGTTGGTTTGTTTGAAAAAACAAATATAGGCGATTTAAATCCGGAAAAATAGTTACATTTCCTAACTTTTTGAAATCTCTAAGAAACTGGTTCGTGTTCTGAGTACCGCATTATTAATTACCGTAGGTTATCTAATTGCCGTAGTATGAAAACATTTAAGAATTTTAAATATTATATACTATTTTGCGTCAATATAAAGTATGTATAAACATTATTATGGTATAAATGAACCAGATCTTTAGATAATTATACCTTATAATCAAACCAAAATGAACAATAGTTAAAGAGAAATATCTCCATACAAAGTTAGATATTTTACTCTTAAATAATTTGTTTTAGACTTTTATTTCAGCCTGTTTTCAGGATTTTATATGATCAAATTAAGTACATCACCTAAACCATTTGATGTAGCAAAACACTTTTTCCCGCTTCTCCTCTGGTGATTGTCGGTTTTCTATCGGATACATTTCGGGGAGTGTGCGCAGGAACTTTTCAATTTGGTTCCGCCCTCACCGTTCCTCCTTCGGTCGACTAGAAGGTCCGGAGCACTCCATTCTTATGTCGTTGATATTCCACCTATTCGCACTAAGCGCTTTGCCTCCTCCTTTCTGATGCGTACGGCAAAGGAATGGAATGCTCTACCGGCATATGTATTTCCCGAAAAGTACAATTTGGGGCTATTCAAGGCTAGAGTGAATAGGCATTTTTTAGGCAAACGCGTCCCATCGTCGGTCACATCGTCGCTTAACATCAGGTGAGATTGTGGCCAAGCGTGTGTCTATTATATATTAAAAAAAAAAAAAAAAAATGCGCCTTATAAGTCAGAAAAATAAACAGAATCAAATTTAAAGCATGGTATTAAGCTACAAGAAAAAATGGTAACAGTTGAGGAAGTGGCCCTGGAAGCAATAGGTTCTGAGGCTTATTCTTCACAATACAATATAAGAGATCCCCTGAAATCTCCGCCAATCGCCAGTAAATTCGCGAGTTATAAATTCACCGCGGTTCCAGTGTGCTGTTACAAAAACCACAAAAAATATTCTTAAGGACGAACTTTGCTAGTCATCTACTTCTTCCAGGAACTCCACAAATACGAATCCCTTTGAGGAAGATTCGAAATCTTTTATACAACGATCTATGTTTCGAGCTTAATCGATTGTCTGTCTTTTTCTTACAGGTGAATTATTATGTTTTATATTTTGCTACGTTTAGTTTATTTCTGCCGATACAAGTGCCTTTCAAGGTTTTCTTTTTTGTAAATTTGGAGTAGTTTTTTAAAGATAATGGTAACAAAAACCTTTAAAATTTGAAAGAATTAGCAAAAAATATTTTGTTCCGGTAAAATTAGTTACAGAAAGAGTAGAAAAACGAAATGAAAGTTATTAATATGCCTTTAGTTCTTCTTTTCAATTTTTGTTTCTATGTTTTGTTAAAAATGTTTGAACTTTCTAATTACCGCAACCATGTAAAATAAAATTTCTAATTACTGTTGCCATAAAATATTTCTATCTTAATAATCCGAAAACTACTTTGTCTATTCTAATGCCATTTAGACATTAATAGTTTAGCTTAAAATTATGCAATGAGAAAAAAATGGCTACGGTAATTATGCTGAGAAAACCGAATTGTGAGAATGGCCGTTGTAAGATCGATTTTAATTATTGGGAAATAATACAATTTATTTTACCTACTTTTGTGGTCAATTGGTGTACCTAAAAAGGTTTTTTTTAGGGGTTCTTCACTCTAACTCTCGTTAAAATATTTCATTATGCATACAAAGCTTTTATCAGTAATATTTCCTGTTTGTAAGACCGATCTTAGGCTTTAATTATCGGCAATCAATTTAATTTCCTAATTTATATTTTATTCCCTAATTTTTGTGTGGCTAACATTGGTTAATTGTTTCAATTAATTTCCTTTTGATGACAACGATGATTAAATACGTAGTTACTGATTTGCTTCAAAGTAATAAATAAAAATAGATTATCTCTCATTGTAGAAAATCAGTGTTTTTTAGTAAAAAAAAAAGTAAATTGAACGTAAAAAATTACTTTACTTAAAAGAAAATGTCGATCAATCGATCGAGCGGTTGATTTGACCACACTTACTACAATCAAAAGAATGTAGAATGGTACGATTACATGCGTACGTCATTCTGTCGTCATGATAAATGTGGCCCATGTAAAAAGTGAAGATTATCACACATTATTTATTGTATTGCGTATACAGTTGGCGACATTACATTTTTAATAACAATCTGTTATTACAAATCGCTTTAAATACACTTATCATAGAAGCAACTAAGGAAGCGATAAATAAAGGACATGAGATGAAAATCCGCTTGTTGTTACTTTACCCTCACAGTTTTTGATAACAAAAAGAAAAACACTTGTGATGTTTGAAATATTTGTAACAATCTTACAAGTCTTGGATATAATTGAGTAGAATGGAGTTGTGACGATGTTGACCTCTTTCATTGTTTTCTCACCTTTTCATCATCCCCTTTCTTACCTTTTATTTTCTAAACTTTGAATCGTTCCCGATTTGCATTTAACTTCACGATTCTTGCGTTTGTTCGATCCGTCGCCAGTCCATTGGTAATCACAAATCGCCTTCATTTCCCAATTACTATTAAAATTATGCTAGTATATTGGCCCTTTTGGTGAGTATTGTGTATTATGTTATTTTGTTTTATAAGGAGTGTTTTATAATAATTTCACTTTTTTACATAATTTTATTACTTCTTCGTCAACGTTGTCGAAAGCCTAATCCCTAATGATAATTTAACTATAAAAGCCTTTCCTAAAATAATGTAATAACAGTTATTACTTCTTTAGAGACTTATAATTTACGATAATAGATGAGAAAAGAAATAGGGTTGGGTTAGGTGGCCTATATAATAATATATTCTACGACTTTGGCAAGAAATTAAACAAAGGAAGATTCATTACTTTCTTTTGTGGTTATGTATGGTATGTAATATAACCACTGCTGTTATAGGATTAATCTATGTGTTAATAGAGGGTCTTCTTGATTTGAAACTTGTTTTGGTTTATGTTGTAGCAGTAGAGCTTTTTGTGTCCAGGGAAGTACTGCCACCTTACTTATTTCTGTCAAGCTGTAATGTGAGCATTCCTGTTTTCCGGTTTTGAAGGGTTAGTAAAGGGCTGGTGAAATTACAGGCACATGGGACTTGTCAACTCATGTCTCAGAGTCACGGGCGCAGTAGCAGTGCCCTTCAGGTCTTTGTGATTTTAAAACTCTCCACGACTTGTTTGTTCCATTACTTTGTATCATAAAAAAAAGAAAAGCACTAGTTTCCTTTGAAAACTTTATTACATTAACTCGTCAGATCGAATTCGGATCTGGTTTTAATGTCATACCTATTACAATATTGAATTCAAAATTCAAATTTAAACTTATGAATGTGTTTATTTATTTATAAATAGATATTTGTTCACATTTATCATATAATGTTTATTTTAAAATGTCGTAGTTACCTAAAAGAGTAAAACGGGTAATTCCCGTGGTTTTTTTTCTAGTAGCTGCTGTTGCATTCCTTATGCATTATGTTTTTATTTCGCGACAGTTTCAAGCGATTTGACATGAGTCTTCAATATATAAACAAAGGCATGGCTGTTGTTAGACCCTGATTCGATCTGACACACTCTTAACAACACAACACTTTTTAACTTTTTTTTTGTTTGTCAACACTGTTAACAAACTCTTGTTATATTCGATAAGTTATTTTCAGAGTTTTAATAGCTACATTTTATGAATTATATCTTATTCAACTATTTTAATAGAATAATTCGCCCCTATCCATGCCCCGACATGTCCGTGAGAAGTCCTGGTCGCGTAAGGCGATTGCCATGTTTGGAAACTTTAGGTTTTTTGTGTGATTTTGGACGAACTCTAGTTTTGTCTTTCTGTTTTTTCCCTTTCTTGTGTTTTCTAAGCACCCTTCGGTTAGCATTAAAAGATTGTTCACCAACGAGATCATTACGCCAATCAGCAGTAGTTAAACTATAAATGCCATTCCTAAAATCAATATAATAATGGAGTCCCACTCATGTATTTTTTTGCAGAAAAATACGCGTTTACTCGCTCCAGTATAAACCTTGACAAGTTTTCCGAAGTATTTGACAAAAAGATTGCTAAAGTACTAATAAAGAGGATAATAATAAAGTCCACTTAAGATTATGAAAACACTACTTTGACTTTACATTTCATTCACACAGGAGTATTTAAATTTTTTACAATATGTTTGTATAGAATTATACGTCAGGTTCTACTTTTAGTAAATTTTAAATTGCAATAAATTCTTACCCACGCTTATCATAATCACCATTGCCCATAACTAAAGTGTCTGTATTATTGCACTTAGCTTTGAGAGCTTCCCAAAAATTGTTACATTTGATTCCTTTGAAATTGTTGTAAACAACACTCGCAGCAAAGAGTTCGTACGCGCGTGTATGACTGCAAATGTAATCCTCGCATCCGGGCTGCAGCTTACAATTATTGGGATAGAAGTCAACATGACCTATGGGGAATATAATACCGAGGCTTCGAATAAAAGCACAGTCGGTGTGAATAACTTCTACGTATTTTCCGTCAGTCTTTCTCAACGACCTCGTCGTTTCTTTAAAACAAGGCGAAATGGGATCCAATCCTGTAATTTCAGTTAGATTAAAAATTATATAATCATTTAAAACGCTAGGCAACCCCAAGGCGTGCCGTTTTGATTCTTGCCCCCAGAAATCAGCACTGTAAACTTTACAGTTGTTTTTTTTTCACTTGTCCAACTTCGTCTAATGTTCTGGCAGCCTAATAGCATTATCTTTATCAGTGGCATCCACAATCTCGTTCACATGGCACAGAAATATTGCGTAATATTTAATTACCTGTTGTTGCTGCTTCTTTCAGATTGTAAGACAAACAAACATTTTTCATACTAATGGACACTAAGTACACCATTATCGCTTAATGCGGGTTGGATTTGTCAATTTTTATCTTTAGGATTTACATTGTTGGGGGTAATTTTTGATAAATGTCTGACTTGGAAGCCGCACGTGGCTGAGGTTAGCAGGAAACTAAAATTACTCTGGCCCAAAGCATTCTACATCTGATACTGGACTATGCAGATGTTAGCTACCTGGATTTGTCAGCCACTCTGCTCAATAAATTGGAACGGCTCCAGGATATGTATGTAAAGTCCATCTTTGGACTTCGTAAATTTTACCATGTCTCTCAAATTCGCGCACAACTTAAATGGCTACCCATGCCTGGCGTACAGATCTTCATATTCTTTCCCTTCTTTACTCAATTCCATTCCATCCCATTACGCCTTCTTATCTTATTTTACCTTCCACTTTTCTACACTTTGCCGCCGCCTTTCGCTCTTCTGATACTTTCATAGTAATGCCCTCTCATACATCTAACTTTTATTCCAATTTTTTTACCGTTTTTGCGACTGATTTTTCTTGATTCCTTCAAACAACGTGTGATCACTTCCTCAACTCCTAAGTCTCGTTTTCTCTCCACTATCCTTTCATTTATTTCCTATATTTATATATATATATTTTTTCCTATAACAGTATACAAGTACTTAACATTATTATTATCTATTTATTGGTACGTATTCATATTATTTGTGTGTATATTTCTATTTACGTATATATTTTTATTAATACTTATTATGAAGTGTACTTATGACGATATTTTTTATTGCACCCTTTTTGCATATCCTAAATTTCTATCCTAAGGTTGCCTAGAAGAAATTGGTACATAGCAATAAAACAGCCTGTCACATATAATCTTACTACTTATTGTACTTAAGTTACTTTATTGTATTTAACTGTAATTTTATGTACAGTAAAGAATATTTCATTCGTTCATTCATTATGGTCTATTCCTGGCCGTGAAGTTTGTTTAAAACTATGTTAACTCACCAGTTATTCGACCAACATTAGCACCAGTCATGCGACCAGCATGACCTACAATGTGAGCACCTAAATCATAACCAACCAAATGAACCTTCTCCCACTTGCCACCAGTAATTTTCAAAAGCCAATTCAATAATTCACCAAGCTTTTGACCAACGTATGGTACTTTTGCAGGAGCAGTCGTATAACTTTCGTCATTTGATGGACCACTCCAATCCAACAGTAACACATTCCAGTTTCTATTGTTTTTGTTGTGAAAAAAACTATTTTTGATGGTTTTAGCTGATCCAGTGCTACTGCTCCCTAACCAACCATGTACTATGACTGTAAGGGGAAGATTTGCATCGTAATGAGCTCTTTTGACACTTTCTAGGTCGTGAAGAATTATGTCTTGAGGTGACTCAGGGTTTTCTCTGAAATAAAAATAAATAATGCTCATAATCTATTTTTAAATCCAACGTATTAGCATAGTTGTACAGAGCAAGCATTGTTGCACTCTGCCTAATTTCTCTTATTTAACTTAGCCTTAATTAAAGTCATTAACATTCTTACACTAAAGTCACAGTACATTTATGAAAATGTTATTTATACGAAATGAAACTATTTTTCCGGATTTAAATCGCGTATATTTCTTTTTGAATTTTGACCATGGGAGTCAACCGTGACCATGGGACCTGTAAAGGGCCTGAAACGTTGGTTTGTTTGAAAAAACAAATATACGTGATTTAAATCCGGAAAAACAGTCTCATTTCCTATGTGTAACAATCGCGAAAACCTAAGAACTCGAAATGTTATTTAGGTTAAGAAAAGTATTATTTTTTTTTTATAAAAAAATAGTGACAGACATAACATTAATACGAGGAATAAAAATAAACTGGCTGTTCTTAACAATCGTGTTCAAGAAGTCTCAAATTCATTTGAGGGTCAATGTTACGCTTCTATAATAAGATTCCGATTGATATTCAAAATTTGCCATAAACGATGTTTAAAACTATTGTGAAACAAAAACTTTATATTAAAGGTTGACAAAAATCCGTGGTAGTAACCTGGTTAGCTCTTTCAGGTATTCTGGATCTAAGATATTTAAATTAAATATTATAAGGATAAATGTATTCAAATGCATATTTTCAAAGAGTAACCCCTAGAGTTTTTTGAACATTATTTTCAGGGGAATCTGCGTTACGAATGAGCAGTAGGGTTTAATCTGTATGACGATTTCAACGTAATTTGCTTACCTATGAAATAAACATTATTTGACTTGGACTTTAATATTAAATTTGTGAATGATAATTATTTTTTTAAAATAAACATAAGAAAATATTTTTAATTATTACTAGGTACCGTACACAAATATACCAAATATTTTAGCTAAAGCTAGCTAAAAGTTAAACCTTACCTATTGTAAAGATAAAAGTCGACCTTAGATTCGTTATTACTGCTGGCGTTACTTGAAGGTCTGTTCTCTACCAGAGCACCTTTGCCGCCATTGTCGCGTACTACTTCAAAAGGTTGGTACTGAGAGCAATCAATCAGAAACGAATCAGAGCGAAGCTGGTGTGCAGAAGATACTGTATCGAAAGATATTTACTTCAATTAATCCATTAAGGTATGAAGAACGATAACATTACTAACTTATTTTTTGCAGAATGTAGGCATGTTTGTTGGCCTTAATGTCACCCGATAGTAAGCGAGGATGTTGCCGAGAATGAAGCATTCTTGCTTAGGAATAGCTTACTCACTTTCATTTTAATAATAAATGAAAACAAAAACACAATAATTGTACATAGCTTAATTTATTACACACTTTTAATATTTTGCATACAAGGGGATGACAGAAGACACTAAAAATCTCTAAGGCTGCTACTAGACGAACTGCATGCGCGAAGTCTATATGTAACACAGTCGGTTTCAACTGCATGCTGTCGACACTGATTTCAAGCAGTTATCGCCGTGCTCCTAGTCAAAAGCTCGGTGTATGTGTTGATGTTGGAATGGAAAATGTTTCTTGTACTTTATCACTGTATTCACAATATTTATAGTTTCAGATGCAGATTTTACATTTTATTAAGGAATTAAACATATCGCTATTGACATCCTTAATTTAATTTGTTAATTAATTCACGTCTGTAATCACCGATCATAAACAGCGGTGGAATTTGCGATTAAAAATGTAAATAAAGGTACCATTACAATATTTTTTTAAGAATTGTGCAAATCATATAAATTCATAGAGAAAATTTCCACCAATCGTGTTTTAGTTTTACCATTAAATTTATTAATCCCTCAAGTAACCATTACCATTTGCCGTTACTACTAAACATAAAGTTGTTTCAAACAAAAAAATGATATATTTGATTGACTAATTTTGATTCTCAGACTGTCGTTTACATCGACAGCAGCCGACGCTTGCAGTTGAATACTTAACTGCACGCAGTTCAAGTCTCCACTATGACGTGCAGTTGATCACGACTGCAGACGTGCAGACCATCTGGTGGCAGCCTAAGAAGAATCTGTCTCATTTAATTCCAGAAAAAAATTGTGGAGAGACAGTATATTACTTGACTGCTACATACATAGGTAACGTAGAAATTTACAGAGTGCTTCTGCTTTAGCTTCCAAACAATCCTAATGTATTAACCAAAGTAAACTGTAGTTAAACTTACGTGTAATAATAGTTTGCAAACATACTAACACCTTCATATCTGATAACGTAGAATAGTGAAATTATTTGTATAATATTGAGTTTTGAAAATCAAAACACAACTAAAAATAATAAAATATAACACACTATTACTGAAACTTTAAATAATTTGTTGAATATAGTTTTCGTCCATTTTATAGCTCATTAAAAAAACTATTGGCACAAAAAGAATCATCAATTATACAAGCTGACGTTAATGGAAACTTGTATTATTAATGAAATTTTTCGAATACTTATAATTTATTTTGTCGGAGTTAGTACATTGGAATTTTAATCAAATTGCCATGACTAAATTATTTAATTATAGAAAGAAAAACAGATGCTGTTTTTTTGTTTATTAACTGCCAAATTGAGCACTGCTCGGCAGCAGGGAATATTTCATATTATTTTCATAGCGACTAATCTTACATACCTTTTCAACATTTTATTATTTTAGTGTAAGCATTTTTGCGTACATTTTGTCTGTCAGTACATTTTTTTAAGATTAGTTTCGAAAAAAAACGAGAGTTGGGTGCATACATAACGAACGGACTCGCTGGATCTTCATTCATATCTCTTAAAATTAGATATTATTTTACTTCAAAACCTTTTTGAGCTAAAGCAATTTCTTTTGTACACACTAAATTGGAATGAAGTGTCAAAACGTAAACGACTATGACTTGTTATGGACTATTCACTCCCCGAAGTTCGTCTCAATTCCAATATTTGTGATAATTATTTAATGAACGACCATGAGTCTTAAAATGTATATTATCAAGAAGTTCAGCTGGCATGCTCATAGCTGATATACTATGATATACTATGTATCTATTTAGTAGCAGTAGAGCTCCTTGTGAAAGAGTTCGTCCAGGGAAGTACTGCCACCTTACCTATTTCTGCCGCCAAGCAGTAATATTATATATTATATAGCATTACTAGGTATGTTCCGGTTTTGAAGGGTAAGGGTGCTGGTGAAATTACAGCCACATGGGACTTGTCAACTTATATCTCGGGGTGACAGGCGCAGTGGCAGTGCCCCTCAGATTTTTGCGATTTAACCATCGGGAGTGGCACTGCAACTGTTATGGACAGGCGTGTCGCTTACCATCAAGGTCGACGGAATTAATGAATAGGTTGTGTCTGTTTTAACTCGAACCTTCCTCACATTATGTATATATCTATATTTATGTTTATAAAAATGTTTGTATATTTGTGTCTTGTTCGTTCAATTGTTATTCACCTGATTGCGATAAAACGGGTGTACAGAATAGGAAATTGTGTTGTGTCTACACCCTCAAGTTTCTAAAGTATTAAACTCTATTGCTATACACGGCTAGCTTTTACTGGTAACTCATAGTATAATTATTAGTGGGACTCCCTACAATCGTAGCAGTGTGGCTTATATGTATGCACGCCCGCCACGGGCCGTGTACAGACGCACACATTCGCATTATCTCGCGGTGCACTCGAGTTGTATAACGCCGGATTATGCGCACATGCGGATAATGCCACACGAGCCATCCATTATAGAGTTGCAATGTCCGCTCGGTATTTAACATTTTTCAGATATTTTTCTGTGACAAATTATGTGTTTATTTACAAATGTATCGTTCGTACAAACTCGTATTTTATTTTTATTTCATGATCTTACTCAAATATAAAAGTATAAATGATAAAGTATAAAAAATTTCAATATGTAAGAAATGATAAAGGTTGTTTCAATATAGTACGAGAAAATTGTGACGAATATATATTAATTCTTTTAAATAATAGTACGTGATAACCCTAATCTCCAAATGACGCGACTTGTACGCATACCGGGTACAGCTAGTTCTGTACAAAAACAAAGCAATAATGTCAGCTTCATTAGTTTTTTACAATATCGCCATGTTATATAGTTTATGTTTTATAGTTTATATATAGTTTTTGAAAGTACTCTTTGGGGATTTATACTACTTGTGTTTACAATGTGCACGACGTGCTTGTAAATAAGATCAGTTAATGATCACATCTGATAGTGTTTAGCCATAGTATAAATAAGACAAGTATTCTAACTGCCGCCTGTTCGGCTCGTCAATGCCTGTACGTCACACGGAGCGTAGGGTTATCACGTTATTATAATGATCATATGAACCAGAGTGATTTTACTGATGACGGAATCGGAGAAACACAAACAAAATTTATAAATTTTTATGAACTCCAATTAAATATCTTCCAAAAAGAGGTATTTAAGTATGTTTATATTTGGTTAGTAGTCTCACATCGTTGTATTAAATATTGTAGTTAGCCTCTAGCGAAAGGTGGTACCAAGTTTGTAAGGAAAATGTAAATTCCGGATTCACTGAAACAAAAAATACAACATGTATATTCAAAAGCGGAAAAAAAACATAATCAATCCGCAAATCTTTTGATCAAAGACCTGCGGGTCTTATTTTGTTAAAATTGTGTTTGTATATACATATTTTTCAAAATAACGTCAATTATTTCTTACACGCTCCTCGTCGGATGCTTTTGTGCTAATTCAAAGAAGCAACACACGCGTTCACGTTTTCTTAAATTGGTCGTATTTCACACTGTATATTTATGGTTAGAATTTTTTTATCATTGCCCTTCTCCACATAACTAAAACATTAAAACCAGTCTTAGTTGCGACGGAATTGCATGAACTAATTCCGCCACCCCCTTTCCATCATCGGCGGATTGGAAGTAGCCCGGTGTTCCAATTCTATGTTGTGGATATTTTAAGCTAAGATTCGAGCAAAGCGTTACGCTTCCACATCTATATGGCGTTCGCCTTTGGAGTGGAATTCCCTGTCTCCAGACTTATTCCCCGAACGCTAGGATTGGAACCTTTTCAATTCAAAAGAGAATAGGAATTATATAGACACACCTATATCCTCCATCGTCACTTTCCATTAGGTGACTTAGAAGTCAAATGCGCACTTATTTTGTCTAGAGGTATAAAAAATAGTTACAATGTCTTCACACTTTATGTGAGAAAAACTTACGTGGTCTTAACGTCAGTTCCACCAAAGGTTGCGTTTCTGTCACCGAAGCATTGTAACTCGATGGCCTCTTCATAGGTCTCACAGGCAGTTCCAACAAATTTATTACCATCGTTAACTTCAGCTTCAAGAGATTCAGCATAGAAGGCGCACCCACTCTGCTGAGATCCGCCGTTTGGATAGAAATCAAGATCGCCAAGAGGGTAGTCGTAACCGAAAGAACCAGCGGTTGCATGAAGAACCTCAACGACTTTAGCATCGGTAGGTGCCAGGATGTCAGGGTTATGTGTCCAGCCATGGAAAGCAGGATCGATAGCTGCAAATAAAATTGATGTACTAAAATTAATTATCTATATTTTATCATCACTAGGTTTCGTTTGGTATTTAAATGGTCACCTAATAAGTACTGAGATTATCATACACATCTTATCATGTTTAGAACCTAAAACATATAAACGAAGCATGGCGTATCTGCTAGGCATAAGCCTAAAAATCATTAAAAATCAGTATGCCTGGATACTTTATTTTTCTGTGCTACCATTAGTCTAATATAGTAGCTATGAAAGGAAAAATTAGAGCGACCCGTACCAATGATTTGAGGAATATCAACCGCAACTGATCTGGCTGCAATTCCAGCAATGTGTCCACCGAGACCAACACCGACTATTCTAATGCATTCAGGGTCGTAACGGAAAGTGTCCAATAGAATCGTTATGAAACTGGCTATCACTTGTCCAACCTGAAGACAATACATGGAAATCAAAGTCATACTTATATTGTTGAAATTCTATAGCAATTACTGAAAGAAACCAACAAGTCATTCATTTTGAAGAATAATTATTAAATAAAACGTATTCTCTTTAAGGTAAATCTAATGCATCCAAAAGTGTTATGAGACTTTTCTTGATATTCCTTCAAAAATCATATTGGAATAAACAAGTATATATATTCAAAACATAAATTACCTGACGAGCATTCACGAGGCCTTGGGTGTACATACTAGCACCAGGGGACCAGTCAACTGCTAATATGTTCACGTCTTGAGATAGTAGGTGAGCTGTAATAAATAACATCGCGAAATAGTCTTTTGTCTTCCAAACTAGAAGCACGGGCTTTACCCACTGAGTCTTTTGAAATCATGTGCAGTTTAAATTACAATTATCACTTGATGAAGCAGTGACATTTATATTGCTGTACCATCTATAAAGTTGGCGGTAATAAGGAAGTACTCTTAATATTCACACGTTAGATTGATTGGTCTTGAGGAATAGATTTCAAGTTTTATGTGTTTTTTATATAAGAACACAATTAGGCGCTGCTACTTTGAGATAGATAGTAAACGATGAATAAAACATACGAAATAACCCACCACGAATTGCGAAAGCATTAAAGTTGCCACCTGCAGAGTCATTGTGACCGTGAATGGTGAAGACTGTGCACTTATCCAGACTGAGGAAGTTGGCCAAAGAAATTGAATTCACAGTGGGTAGCAGTGGCTCACTTTGATTTGGATTTTGCCTGTAATCAATCAACGTAGTATTTGGAATTAAATTTTACGTTGATGTTATAAAAGACAGGTTTTCCGCAATGCGTTTAAACCAGTTACTAAATTTCTAATATCTGTTCTAAAACTGTAGTTAAAAATGTAGAAAACATATACAAACCTAGTGAATAAGTGAAATACCACATCTTGAGGTCCTAACTCGAAGCCAGACGCTGCAAAGCATATAGAAATGAATATTTAGATTATATATTATATGGGATGGGAAACAAATAAAATTTACTACGCAGAACTCGACTCTTTGCTTGGATGATTATACTGAAGTTCTAGGTACTGAAGAATGACCAACCGATTGGTCGTGTAAAGCTTCAGCAATTTCTGAAACAGCGTCCAAACGAGGTTGTCTCTTTTGTATCTTGAATTATCATTAGCATTTTATCATATACATATAATCATAATTCGTAACCGCAATTTACGAATTACATTTTACGATTACAAACCACACGAGTACAAAAGAAATCCTACATTACAACATCATTAATTTTTAAATTTCTTTTCATTTCGTTAACACTAAAATAAAACAATATCGTGTAGGTAATTCGTGATATACTCGTGTTTACATGACCTTTAAGTAATTTTATAAATACATGCGTAATATTAGAGTGCTTGACAAATATAATCCTTAAAATAAACGAGTATTAAAAGGTACTAATTTTATCAATAGATATTTTCCGTTGACGGCGATAATTTTTAAATAACATTTCCTAATAATCCTGTAAATATAAGAGTAATATGTTGAGTGTTTTCTTTGTGTGAACATTCTCTTTTGCTTAAAAAAACTGATATTTTATAGTTTAACTGTTTTCTTTCATCCACCATTTTCCTCGCTATAGTGAGGTGAAAAGTTGCGTGTTTCGCTCGACAGCAAAGTTGTTTTGCGTCTCGTGCCTTGAAACCCTCGCTTAATAATTTTTGTTAATAATATAAATAAAGTATAATCTTAGCTTCCTGTCTTGCTCAGGTTTCAATACAAGCACTCGCGTCAAGTAACAACTTTGTAGCCTCGCATAACAAATACCTATTTTTTTTTATAATATCAAGTGATGAGACGAACGACGAAATTTATTTTTGTATGAATAAATTGTATTTTTATTTTGTACGTCAGGGTCACAAAGTTCAAAGCAAATCAGTACTAGGATTGAAAATATTTTCAACGAAATCCAATAAATTACTAATTGTCTTCGTGTCTATTACAGATAAGAAGAATCATACCTGCAACGGCAGCGTACACCAACAGGATACATTTGGCTAGCACGTACATGTTTTCGGCAATAACTAAACTTGACTGTGTCGTTAGTTTTATAAAACATATAATCTACGATAAATAATTCTCAGAAATTTACAAGCGGTAGATATATTTCCTTTAATAATTACTATCAAAATATTGCCTCCATAAATCTATCGAAAAGGATTTCCCATAAAGATTATTACACAAGACATGATTATTTAAAGATATCAGAATAATTTAAAAAATCCACAGGAGTGACGAGTAGATGTTAGTTGAATGTGAAATAAATACTATAAATGAATCTCTAAATGATTTTTTTATATTTAACTATACTTTTTGCATAAAAATACAGTCTTAATTGACATTATAGTTATAGAACAAGGATGAGTATTCAAATGCCATTATAGAATTTCCACATTTAGAATGTACAAACTCACTCATAACACACATGCTCAGCCCTGCACTGGGGTAACCCTGTATTGCGGGTGCCAAGGACACACACATAAGTAGACAACCATAAATTAGACCCAAACTCACGAGAGAAACAAATGTAGGCCATCCAAAGATTTCTCCTGGTCCGGGAATCGAACCCGGAATCTCTGCGTAAATCTCTGAATAAAGGACAATGATATTATCACATTATGTATCAGGAAATTAAAGAAGGAAAAGAGCGCGATTTTGTCCTCTACCCAATACAGCTTGAGCAGAATTTCTGTCCGTAAAAATCAAGCCAATTTCGTGTAGATAGTGTTATAATTTATAATAAAAAGATAATTGTGCATTTCTGTAATCTAAAACCATATTTCATTACCTATTTATTTTAATCTTCGGCGTGTTTCTTTTTCTTGTGTTGTTCAGTTCCTATTTCAAATGGATTTTTATGTAGGTAGGTACATTTTTGAATTAAAAAATAAATAAAAAGCAATAATATTAAGTAGCACTTGACGATTTACATTACCTATCTATTTAAACACTACTCAATTTTTAATTTTGGTCACATAAATATATCTTTGTTTTATCTACTAATGAGGAAGCCAAAATATAGGTAAAATATAACTTTGTACGTTGTACTCCACCTTACTTCGATGCACAACGCGTCGATCGGTCCGTGTAAATCAAAGATTATCATGGGGTATAGACATTGATGGTTTAAATGTCATTTGACTAAGGGACATTTGGCTGGTTTTTTATATGAAATATATATGATTCCCGGGTCGGGAGAAATATTTGTATGGGCCTACATTAATTTCTCTCGTGAGTTTGGGTGTAATTTGTGGTTGTCTATGTATGTGTCCATGGCATCCGCGACACAGGGTTTCGCTAGTGCAAAGCTATGTTGTGTGTGTGCAAAAAAAAACTCATTTGCAAAAAAAACGGACGTTTGATTTTTTCCCTGCTTGAAATAATTACAATACGAAAAAGGTTTTTTTAATTCAAAAATGTCTCTGGCTTGATAATAATTAAGTGTCCTCATTTGTAAAACATTCGTTCCAAATTCAAATTTAAGAGATTAGACCTGTCTAAGTCAATGCCTGTCTACCATTGACTTACAATTATATGGACGTCGGGTCCGCGCTAAAACGTGTTCGCACTTGTAAGGCGCTAAAATCGTATACAGAGCGCGACACTCCGCTTTAGTCTTCATTTGTTCGACTGACAGCGCGATACTGCGATGACATTACAATTTAAATTTCGAACAGGTTGACTTGGGACACTTTTTTCGTGGCTTTTGTATTAGACCCGTCGTCCATTTATTCGTAAGTCAATGCTGTCTGCAACAAAATTACTCTTCACTGCATGAAACGGCGGGAATTGTTGAAAGCTCATATGAACCAATTAATCACTTTTAAATAAATTTTGATAACTTATCTTGTTCATTCATCATTTTAAGTTATTGTGCTATTACTAAGTGGTCTCTAAAATAGCTGACAAAGCAATAATAGCCAGCAAAATTATAGCGCTGCTTGAAGAAAATTGTTCTCAATGTTATGTGTCCCAGAGGCTGAATGTGAGTCGTTCGACAGTTCAGAGCACTGTGCAACGATATCAAGAGACCGGTTCCGTCAATAGAAGGACAGGTTCTAGAAGAAAATCATCCACCGAATCACGGGATGACCGCTTCCTGGTAAGCCGGGTATTAAGAGGACTGGAGAAGAGTATTGTTCTCTGATGACGCCACGATTTCTCTGTGTGGTGAAGACCAACGTCAGCGAGTGCTACGAAGACCAGGGGAACGCTTTGCACACGTATGTTTTGAAGAAGTCATCCCTTATGGTGGAGGCTCCGTTATGTTTTAGGCAGCAATTAATTTTATGGACCGTACGGAGTTAGTCTAGTGAATGCACACCGACACATGACGGAGATAATAATTCCTCACGTACAACCCACATGTTCTTGGAGAAGATTCCATTTTTATGGATGACAATCCTCGCGCCCACCGTTCTGGCGATGTGGAAGCGCATATTCAAGAGGTTGGAATCCGGCGTTTGCATTGACAAGCTCGAAATCCCGACCTACATCCAATAGAGCATGTCTGGGATGTTCTGAAGCGACGGGTAAGATCAGCGCAGTCAGCATTACAAAACATCAGGAAGCTTAAGAATCTTATCGCCGTGGAATGAAAACATATTCCGCAATAGGTCATAAGCAATGTCTTCGAAAGCATGTCTAGAAGAATACAAGCTGTGATTTTGGCAAGAGGAGGCCACACTCATTATTAAATTGTTACCATTTTTCATTTACATTATTTAAAAAAACAAAAATCTTTTAATTTTTATTTTACTTAACGAGTAGTGTTCTACTGACCACTGGCACTGGAACGACATTTTCTCATTTAGTTAATCGAAATTAATAGAAAAAATTTGCTCAAACCATTTTCTGCATATTCATTTCTAAGATTCTGAGGATACTAGTTAGTAAATAATAAAATTTGACTGCAGGCGACAGTTTTTTTGCAAAGGAGTGTATAATTTTCTATCTACTTCTATGGACTTTTTGTTCTTTCGCAGCTTAGCAATAGGTAGAAAATGTGTAATAATTAAATTAAATTAAAAAAAAATTTTTTTTTGCTTGTATTGAAAGCCAGCCAAATGTTCCTCATGACAATTATTCATGTTTAAATCATCGATATGACGTTACACACAGAAATCACACGGCGCTGCACATGTCGCTTCAGTATAGCAGTGCGACAATTTATTTTTACATTGCTTTGTATGACGCCCCAACTTACTAATGGTGTGTTATGTCAACTGCCGCCTTCGACAGACTACTTTGCCTTGCCAAAGGAGGCGCAGTCGACTTGCTGTTTACACCGAGTCGACTGACAACAAAAGAAGCGCACCTATGAACGCCTGCAACACCAGGGGCATTTCGAGTGGCCAACCCTTTAGGTTCAGAAGGGTTTCCCCAACCCCTTTTGAGGGACTCCATGCTGTATTCATGCGGGAAACTCTGACGGGGGTTCATTCCACAACCTAATTGTTCGTGGGAGGAAGCTCCTCTAAAACCGTTCAGCACGAGATCGATTCGGATCGATAGCGTAAGGATAGACGCCCTGCCGGTGGCGAGCAGTGCAATGATAAGATTTTGCTGTTAGCATCTTGTCAGACAGTTCTTTAGAACATTGGTCATTGTACGGGCGATAGACCAGACCTAAGGATGCAAAGTCTATCCTCGTAGACAGTAGTTCAATATACTCTGTAAGCGACCTGGTAGCAGAGTTGTACAACCAGCACGATTGTCAAGCTGTGACAGTTTCCTACCGCCGGCATAGAAGGTAGCACAACAAATGCAAGGCGCAAACTTGGTATGCCAAACTCATTGTTCCCACGGGCACCTGCAACTAAGGATCAATACGAATATCCCTAAAACCGTCTCAGGACATCAGTTGTTCGATGTAGGGACAATATGTTGAAATGGGGACATATCGCAGGGCAACGTATTTATGGCAGACAAAATAAAGACAAAACAATTCAAAACTAAGAAAAAAACAATTTTTAAAAGTAAATAAATATGGACTTCAAGCATTGAATCCTAAAAACATTTATAGATGAACGAATGTACCGGACACAGACACTATATGGTACATTTCTCTCCCTGTAGAATTTTCCGACTCTGGTTTATGGGACTCGAAACATTTTGGGACAAGGATAGCAGAAGGTTTATTTGATTTAAATAAGTCGGGATTCAATAGCGTATTAATATATTTTTCACCTCACTACATTGACTTAAAATTATACCTCACTAGCTCGGAATTAGAAATCTGCGCGCAAAAGCGTTTTTAAAATTCGAACTTGACGATTGCCTGTGGTGCACACTTAGAACAATAACGCACACCAAATTGTTTCTTTCGATGAATGAAAATATAAAGACAAGTTCTATTACGCGATTTGTCGTACATTATTTAGGTAATATAATCCGTTGGTATATTTTATTCTTATTATTGTTGGCATTACATTGACAAGGGTAACTAATTTTTTTTAAACTGATTTGTTATAGTTGCGACCGCTAAGTTGTTATCATTGAACAGTAATATAATTTAAGTTTAATTTAAGTCATTTTAAGTAACAGTAGAGCTCCTTGTAAAAGAGTTCGTCCAGGTCGTACTACTAGCCTACCTATTTCTGCTGCGAAGCAGTAATGTCAGCATTACTGTGTGTCGGTTTTAAAGGGTTAAGGGTGCTGGTAAAATTACAGGCACATGGGACTTGTCAACTTATGGCTCAGTGGCGCAGTGGCAGTGCCCGTCAGATCTTTACGATTTAAAGTTCTGAGTGGCACTGCAACTGTTATGGACAGGCGTGTAGTTTGCCATCAGGTACACGACTTGTTCGTCCAGTCACTTGATATTATATTAAGAAAATCACTTTAAATTTCATGCGCAATATAGAGTACGAGTATTTCATTCATTCAATAATCATAGTATTTAATTTTTACACTATTTAATTTTCTTTTTCAGATCTATTTACAGTGCATACTAACTCATTGCGAAATCAAACCAAGTATTTATTAACCTAGCTTAAACGAGTCTCTCCTTTGGAATAGGTATTTTAATTT